TTGTTGTTGTTGTTGTTGTTGTTGTTGTTGTTGTTGTTGTTGTTGTTGTTGTTGTTGAACAATATTTCTTCTTAAGAACAATTATTGTTGGGACCCCTGGTGCGCGACCCCCCCGCCGCGCCTAGGCCGCAGCCACGTTTTCATCATTTTCGTGAGGAAGTCTCAGGCAAAACGGGTTGGTCCGGATCCGGTTGTGTTGTTACGATCGGTTTTCCCTTGCAATAAATAAGCTAAAGTGGACATTTCTTGTTCTAACATATCCAAACTTCAAGAATCCCTTGCAAAAAATAAGGTAAAGTGGACATTCGCGCGCGCAAGACGAAATCCTTCCAAAACCTTAGTGTTCGCAGCGATTTTAACATACAAACATAAAAAAACCAATGGTTTTTCAACAAAAAATTGTCAAAATCTCATCCCGCGCGCTCTTGCGGATTCGTAGGAAAACCCAACACTTTTTAAACATTTCTGTCAAACGGGCTTTTGCGAGCAACTTTTTCGAACTTCTGCGACAACGGTTGCGCACCTGCCAGGGCCATCATCCCTGTCAAATAATACCATGCGGGACACATTCGTTTTTTCTTTGCGCGCGCACGCCGTCGTCGTCGGCCGCGGGGCCTTGAATAGTAGCCACGGTCGTCCGCATGCCACGAAGTGAAGTGTCCGAACGTCATAGGGCGGGAAGCTGGGTGTGGGTGGTGGCGAAGAGTCGTTTGGAAATTTAGTAGAGCTTGAACCGGCCCCCCCACAAAGTGGGGGTATTGCCCGCCTCCTATGAAAACCCTGGCACTGGTGAGAACGGAGTGTCCCCACGTGCTAGTAATTGTTGTTGTTGTTGTTGTGCAGCTTTCATTTCTCAAATATGATTATAGTTGATCCCCCCTCCAGCGCACATTCAATGTTCCCAATTGCAGTGTCCCTCCTCAGGCTCGCGCTTCAGTGTATTGAAACGTCAAGTTGTCGCTTGAGACTTCCTTGACATTTACTCAGGGATCGCGCTCTCGCGTAAGAATGCCTGACAATTCTTGGCGCCTCGCGTATGCCCACCAGCCCATCCAGAAACGATGCGCATGTGAGTTACCTCTCAGAGTCTCCTCGGATGTGTCTTGGAAGCTTTTTTGGAGGCTCTTGGAGTGTCTTGGGGGCATCTTGGCGGGCGCAGGACCGTCTTTGAGCGTCTTGGGTGCCGCGGCGATCCTCTTGAGGCTTCTTTGGGGTCTCTTGAGGGTCTCTTTGAAGCGTGGTGGGCGCCTTTTGTGGCCGTCTGGGCGCCTCTTGGAGCCTTGCTGAGGCGCTGTTGGGAGCCTTGGGGGCGCTCTTGGGTCCATCTTGCAGGAGGTCGATCAAAGAAGGGGGAACTTCAAGTAGCGTCGCCTCTCGAGAGTGCCTGACACTGCCTCTTGGGCCCCTCTTGGAGCGCTCTTGGGGCGCTCTTGGGTGCTCTTGGTGCCGTTTTGGGGCTCTCTTGGGCCTCTCTTAGGGCCCTCTTGGGCCATCTTGGAGTCATCTTGAGAGCCCGGAAGGCCATCGAACGCAAAAAGGCGAGAAGGCCAGACTCATTGGGTTTCGCTACGTTTCTGAAGGATTTGGGCATCTCGGCGGCATCCTGGGGAGGCTCCGTGGCCATCTTGAGCCGCCTTAGGGCGGTCTTGGGGCCTCTTGGGAGCCATTTGGAGCTAGCTTGAAGCATGCCGTGGAACATCTTGGGGCATCTTGGGGCTATCGTGGAGCATATCTATTTGGAGCCATCTTGGAGCATCTTGGGGCTATCGTGGGCCATCTTGAATGTCATCTTGGGCTCTCTAAGGCCCCTCGGAGGCCGCTCGGTCTTGGGAGCCTTTCGGATGCTTTTTGGAGGCCTCTTGGGGCTTCTTGGGGCGCTCTTTGGGCCCTCTTGGGAGCCCTGGAGGGCCTCTTGGGGCCATCGTGGAGGCGGTCGGTCAAAAGAGGGGGGGGTACTCGATTTGCGTGCCCCCCTCGGTGGCCACGATCCTCGAGAGGGGTGGCAAACAATGGCCCTCCCAATGGCCAAAAAAGGAGCCTCCGACACCTCGCGATCCCTCCCAAAAAACCTCAGGGAGGGGAGGGGGAGGGTTCCCCTCCCCGAAGGGAAGAGGGGCTGTGGAAGAGGAAAGAAACCTTCGTTAGACCACCTGTCGCCCAAAGGGCTGGTGGGATTCTGTCGGCTGCTGCTGCTGCTGCTGCTGCTGCTGCTGCTGCTGCTGGTGCTCTTTGGGAGCTTGGGGGCCCTCTTGGAACCCTCTTGGTAACCCTGGAAGGCTTCTTGGGACCATCTTCGATGCCATCGATCAAAGGATGGAGCGGTAACCGACTCAGCCCCCCCCTCAGGAGCCCGCGAACCGCTTCTTGGGGCTCTCTTGGAGCGCTCTTGGGCGCTTTGGGGGCCGTCTTGGGGCCCTCTTGGGGCCCTCTTGGAGCCCTCTTGGAGCCCTCTTGGAGCTCTCTTGGAGCTCTCTTGGAGCCCTCTTGGGGCTCTCTTGGGAACCCTGGAGGCCCTCTTTGGGCCATCTTGGAGGCTATCGATCAAAAGAGGGGGGTCCTCTATCTCCGTCCCCCCCTCGGGGGCCACGATCCTTGCTTGTGAGGGTGGCAAAAAAATGCCCTCCCAATGGCCGAAAAAGGAGCCTCGAACCCCTCGCGGAACCCCCCGTCCAGGTCCAGGAGGAGGTCCAGGGGGGAGTAGGGGGAGGGGTGAACCCATCCCCGACGGGGAAGAAGGGGTTGTGGAAGAGGGGGGAGGAATCTCGTTAGACCACCTGTCGCCCAGAGGCCGGGTGGGATTTATTCAAATGCCTCCCCTCGACACTCAGGAATCGCGCTGTCGCCTGGGACGTCCTCAATATGTACTCGGGAGTCGCGCTCTCGCCAGAGATTTCCCGGCGCTTCCAGCCGGATTCTCATGCTTCGGCGACCCGCCCGCTCGACCCGCCTGTCGGGGCCCGCCCGCCTGACCCGCCCGTTCGGGATTGCAGTCGCCGTTTGCTGCCCTTCGCCTGCCTTCCATGCCCCTCCCTGCCCGTAGTGCTTCCGCTGTCGCCTTCGCTCGCTGCCCTCCGTGGCCCCCTTGCTGCACGGAGTGGCACCAGCGCTGCCCTGTGGCCCCGCAGATATGCCCCTCGTGGCCCCCGCTCGCTCGCGCCCGTCGTGGCCCCATCTGCATGCCCTTCGTGGCCCCCGCTCGTCGCCCGCCGTGGCCCTATATACGCATGCCTTTCGTGGCCCAGTGCTGCCCTTCGTGGCCCCGCTGTCGCCTGTTGTGTCGCAGTATGCGTGAGTCCTTCGTGGCCCCCGCTCGCTCGCGCCCGTCGTGACCACGTATGCATTCCCTTCGTGGCCCCGCTGTCGTCCGTGCTGGACACACGCTGCCCGTCTGGCCCAATCACTGCCTCTCGTGGCCCCGCTGTCGCCTTTTCTGGCCCCATTTACGTATGCCCCTCGTGGCCCCCGCTCGCTCGCGCCCGTCGCGGCCCCATATGCATGCCCTTCGTGGCCCCGCTGTCGCCCTCCGTGGCCCCCTCGCTGCCCTTCGTGGCCCAGTACTGCCCTTCGTGGCCCCGCTGTCGCCCTTCGTGGCCCTATATACGCATGCCCTTCGTGGCCCCTGCTCGCTCGCGCCCGTCGTGGCCTCATATGCATGCCCTTCGTGGCCCTGCTGTCGCCCTCGGTGGCCCCTTCGCTGCCTTTCGTGGCCCCGTTGCTGCCCTCAGTGGCCCCTTCGCTGCCCTCTGGGGCCCAGTACTGCCCTTCGTGGCCCCGCTGTCGCCCTTCGTGGCCCTATATACGCATGCCCTTCGTGGCCCCTGCTCGCTCGCGCCCGTCGTGGCCTCATATGCATGCCCTTCGTGGCCCTGCTGTCGCCCTCGGTGGCCCCTTCGCTGCCTTTCGTGGCCCCGTTACTGCCCTCAGTGGCCCCTTCGCTGCCCTCTGGGGCCTCATATACGTATGCCCTTCATGACCCCCGCTCGCTCGCGCCCGTCGTGGCCCCATTGCTGCCCTTCGTGGCCCTTGCTCCTCCCGTTCCCCCTTCCCCTCCTCTTTCCCCTCCCTCTCCGCCCCCAGGAGGTTGTCAGCCTGCCAGACGGGCGCCGTGCCGTCCGGGTGACGCGCACTACGCGCGCGCACGACGGAGCCGTGTCGGAGGAGGTCACGGAGATCCCGATGGAGTGACGGCTGCTACTCTCCCCCCTTGTCACCCTCTCCTTCCCTCCCCCCTTCCCCCTCCCCTCCCATCGCTCCCCACCCCCTCCCCTGTCTGTCCGCCCGTCCGTCCGTCGGTCTGTCTGTCTGTCCGTCCGCCCGCCCGTCCGTCCGTCTGTCCGTCCGCTTGGCTGTCCGTCCGTCCGTCCGTCCGTCCGTCCGTCCGTCTGTCTGCCCGTCTGTCTTCCTGGCCCGTCACTGGCCCCTCTGGTGCGCCCCGTGCACCCACGCCGACCCTCTCCGCGCTCGTGCCCTCCGTGGTCGCGCCCCCCCCCCCCCCCCCGCGGAGCCTCCTCTCCCGGCTGCCCCCCCCCGTCGGAGTGCTCCCGCGCAGAGCGCGGCCGCCCATTCGGGGGGGCGGAGCCCGTGCTCCCTCGCCAGGGCCGCGCGCGGTCCCCTGGCGGCGCGGCCGCCGCTCTGCGGCGGCCGCGGGCTCCTCGGGGTCTTCCCGCCCGGCGCCGCCGCGGCGCACGGCCGCGATGCCAACAAGGTCCGGCTGCCTGGCGGTCTGCCTGCCTGCCTGCCTGCCTGCCCGCCCGTCGGCTTGTCTGCCCGGCCCTCTCCCCTGTCCCTCTCTGTCTGTCTGCATTTGCACGGATGTCAGTTGTTCTTCCTGTAGGCGTGTGCCAGTTTCCTCCCTCTCTGTCTCTCTATCTGTGTATATATATATAGACATAGTGTTCACGCTAGTACGCATGGCAGTACTTTTTTTTTACCGCCGTTGTCCCGCCACTACTCCTCTCCCTCCCGCTCTCCCTTCCCCTCCCCTCTCAACTTCCCTTCCATTCCCTCTCCTCCCTCTCCTATCTTTTGCGACGGCCTCACGGCCGACACGCTGTCGGCTCGCATGGCACAGCGTGTCGCCGGGGCCGCCGCCGCGACAGGCTATCCAACAGTTCCTGAGTGCAATCGAGTGTAATTGGTGCTTTTGTGATTTCGTGGACGGTTTTCGTTTTGTTTACATTTTGCAGCAGAGGCCGAACGGACACTTGACGAAGAAGGACAAACCGAAGGCGGAACATACTGCTTAGTTCGAGCCCTGCTCCGTGCTAGTGAGTGGCCCTTCGCCGGAGCGACCTCCCGTTCAGACCCGGTGACCCGCGGGTCGCCCGCAGCACCGGCCCCCGCGCCCGGCCATTCCAGAGGGGAAGAAACATGGACACAAATCGTCGACGATCCCCACGAAAATGCAGGAAAACATGGGAAGGGGGGGGGAGAGACGAGACCCAGGAAAGCATCAGAAGATATGGAGGATCCTGGGAGTTGTGTTGTCCCTGGGCCTCTTGAGACTGGCTTGCCCCCCCCTCTCCCTGGCCGCTGGAAGGCCGCGCACCAGAGGTCACTCGCTTCTGCCCCGGCTTCGGGCTGGGTTGGGCCCGGGAGTCTGGGGCTGACGTTAAGTCGGGCCTGTCCCTCTACAGGGGGGATGTCCAAAAATAGTCAAAAAATAGTCCAGGGACGATTCTTTGATTATTTGTTGAGTATTTTGGGGGACATTTTTTGAGTATTTTTTATTTTTAGCCCCAAATCCCCCTGTAGGGTAACACGCCCGACTTAAGGCTGACGGCAAGGCGGGGGGCACCGCGCGCGCTCTCGGCGTTTCTCTGGGGCGAGCGCGCGGCGGCACGGGGGGGGGGTAGCCGCCTCTGGGGGGCCGCATGCGAACCCTACCCCTACCCCCCACGATTTCTGCGGGGGAGGGTGGGGTTCACTTCGCTCGAGAGCTCCCGAACGAAGTGAACCCCACCCTCCCCCTCAGAAGTCGTGGGGGGTAGGGGTAGGGTTCGCATGTGGCCCCCTAGCGGCGGCACGGGGGGGGTCGCCGCCTCGCCGTTGGTCTCGCGCGCCCGCCGCCCTTTTGCGCATGCCAGCGGCCAGCGCGTCCACCTGGCGCGCGGCCAGCCCACCCCTGCTGCCGGACGCTTCGTTCGTCGCGCGTGCCCGGCAGCTCGCGCGCCCGCGCAGGTTGCCTCTGCCGTGCTGCGACGAGCACTGTGCCCGGCCCGCTCCTGCCCGGCGTGCCCCCCGCGCGCCCGCGCGCGCCTGGGCTCGGCGGCCCCCGATGACCGCGCGCCACTGGCAAGCTTTTTTGCCTCGGTGCGCACCGCCCCGCCCGCACCTGCCCGCGGCCCACCTCGCCCACCGGGCATGCTGGGCCCCTCCTTGCCCTGGTCGCTCCGTGCGCGGTGCCGGCGCAGAGCGCTTTGTGGCCGTCTGCGGCTCGAGCTGCCGCGGCTCGGCCCCCGCGCGACCCCCGGCGGAGCCCGCGCCGCCCGTAGGGCGCGCGGGCCGCCGTGCACGCCGCTGGCGATGCGGCCGGCGCGGGCCAGGCACGCGGCCTGCGGGTCGCGCTTGGGGGCGGATGAGGAGGAGCCGCCTCGGGGGGAGGAGGAGGAGGAGGAGGAGGAGATGAGGAGGAGGAGGAGGAGGATGAGGAGGAGGAGGAGGAGGAGAGGAGGTAGGAGGAGGAGGAGGAAGGAGGAGGAGGAGGAGGAGGAGGAGGAGGAGGAGGAGGAGGAGGTAGGAGGAGGAGGAGGAGGAGGAGGAGCGAGGTCAGGAGGAGGAGGCGGAGGCGGAGGCGGAGGCGGGGAGGAGGGGAGGAGGCGGGGGAGGCGGAGGAGAGGAGGAGGAGGAGGAGGGAGGAGGAGGAGGAGGAGGAGGAGGAGGAGGAGGGGAGGAGGAGGAGGAGGAGGAGGAGGAGGAGGAAGAGGAGGAGGAGGAGGAGGAGGGAGGAGGAGTAGGAGAGAGGGAGGAGGAGGGAGAGGGAGGAGGGAGGAGGGAGGAGTAGGAGGAGGAGCAGGAGGAGGAGGAGTAGGAGGAGAAGGCGGATGAGGAGAATGAGGAGAGGGAGGAGGAGGAGGAGGAGGAGGAGGAGGAGGAGGAGGAGGAGGCGAAGGCGGAGGAGTAGGAGGAGGAGGAGGAGGAGGAGGAGGAGGAGGAGGAGGAGGAGGAGGAGGAGGTGTCGTTGCTCAGGAGACGGCACAGCTGCCGTGAGCGTGGCGACCCAGGCGTGTCTCTCGGGGGTCGGAGGCCCTCCTGTGAGGCCGCAAGGGTACGGGTTGTCGTTTCCGCATGCGTGGGCCTGCCTTCCACAGGCGTGCGCGCAACGCCCATGTGGGCTCTGTTGTCAGTCAGTGGTTTGGGGATGCTGGGGTTTGCCAAGAGGAGGACCTGCCTGGTGAGTGCCTGCATCGCTTCTGTGCGGAAGCAGACCTGTACCTGCTTAACACACTGCAGGATGAGTGTGATGATTGTACCTACCTCACGCGAGATGGTACTAGGCATCGAAATCACTACATCATTCTTGACTCAGGCATGCTCCCTCTCGCTTCTAATGTCGCAGTTGACCACTCCCACAACGACCTCACCACATCCACCGACCATCTGCCTCTCTTTGCTACGCAGTTGTGGTCATGTGCACCCAAGCGTAAGAAGGATGCGACTCCTCCTATCGACCGCAACAAGTTTCGGGACCCTGTGGCCGTTGGGAAATTTAATTCGCAACTCAGAGTCTCCCTCCCTTTCCGGTGTCAGTTCCCCTCAATGCCCATGTTTCGCAGGTCACCCGTGATTTGCAGTCTGCCGCATCCCAGGCTTTCAACATTTCGGCGATTGGAGCTCGCAAGTCTTACATTAACCAGCAGACGCTGCTGTTAGTTTGGGTCAGGCGTGGCACGTAGAGGGTCCTCAGGAAATGCAGTGGGGGTGAAGGCTTGGGAGAGCTCACCGTCATCCAGAGCTTTGCCTCTCGGTGCTTACACGGGGATCTTGGTAAAGAGGCTGGCAGCTGCCCTCCTTTGAGGTGGTGGAACCTCTGGAGCTCCCTGAGGGGCACGCATGGTTCGGCTAGCAAGCCTCACACGCCTGTGTTCCAGTTCATTGTGGGCATGGTGGATCTCTTGGATAAGTCTGAGGTTCGAACTCACCATTTGCTAGAGGAGGAAAGAATGCACTTTTCGGATGATGTCGCCAGCTCGGTCAACGTCTCGATTGACGGGAGACAGGCACACGCTGAGTGACAGTCGCTCAATACCTTATTTCGCTTTGGGGGTAGACCTGCCAAGTGTGCTAGGGTTGAGGCCCACATGTGCGACGACAATGGTGAAACCATGGTCACCAATGCTCAGGTTGCGGGTCACATGCATTTGCTTTTTGCCAAGGTTGGACGTTCCAAGCTCTTGTGCCCGCAGCGCATCGTGAAGCATTATGATAACCTCCCCCCCCTTCCCAAGTCGGGCGGGGTGAATGTGGCTGGTGACGGTGTGGGGTGTGCTCCCTGACCTGCTATCCCTGGAGCTGTTCTGGCCACCAGATACCACCTCGAACGTTATCTTCGGAAAGCTTTGCCCTTAAAGGGAACCTGGGCCCGACGGAGTTAGGGCGGATCTGGGGCGCATTGCTCCATCGGAGATGACCCAAGTTTTGTTCCCCGTCTTCACTGCTAGCACCGTTGCTGATAAGGAACTGCTGTCTTTCAAAGCTTACCTGGTGGTCTGCTTCTGGAAAGGGGGCGGGGCGATTTCTGCCACAGAAAACCAACGCAGCACTCTCAAGGCTAATGGTATGGGCAAATTTTATCACAAGCACACCCGTTCTCTTGCTTGGGATTCTTTGAACGATGTAGGCTGCTCATGCAGTGTGGGGGCCTGCCAGGCCGCTCCTGTGATAATGCCATTCAATGTATCCATACCGTCTCCTCCGTTGCGGCTGATCTTAAGCTAGGTACGTTTTTTTGTTGTTTTTTCCTGGGCTTACACTCTGCTTTCTGTATCACTATAACGCAGATCGCTCCCCAGCTTCCTGGCGACGAGCTGTTGCAACGGGCGCTCTTGGAGCTTCCCATCCCCGACATATTCTTGACAGGACTCAAGGACACGCTGAATCGGCCTGGAGTTTTAGATCGCACCGTGGCTGTGCCCGCTGTTTCGGCTCTCCTTAAGGACTCCCAGGGAGGCTCCTTCTGGAAGGTCCCCGACGCTAGTTCTATTGCCCTCCCTGGTTCGGGCACCAGACCTGGAACCGTTCTGGCTTCTGGCGTTCTTGTCATGGCTTTCTTTGGCATCCAAAATGCCATCGGGGTGTCCCTTACCAGGCAGCAGTTGGTGTGGAAGCCCCCCCCCCTTCTGCTCCTGTCAACTTTGCGTAGTCAGGTGGCCACAACCATCCCCGCGCCTCGGTTTCCTGTGATGATAACCTCACGTCCGCCATTGCTGTTGCGCGTGCTTGTCATCTCATGCAGGCCCTCGCCACCGCGGCGGAGGACATCGTCCGTGCTTGTCTTGCCCGAGGTCTGATTCCGAATGCAGGTAAAACCAAGGCTACGATTTGCTTCGGGGGTCCTGGGTCGGTGGGGTTGCGATCTGAGCACGTTGGTCGCACGCTTCCTGTCCTCAAATCTGGGGAAGTGGGATTGTTATATCGAGGTGGTTAGGGCTGATAAATGTTTGGGTGCCATGGTCCAAGACGACGGAGGTTTTGGGTCGGAGA